ACTCACTTGTAAAAATGATGCATTCTTCATCAATTCTTTAGGTATGTATGGTTTAAGGCAAAATTTAAGGGAGAAAATAAAAATGAGGTTTTTTTTTTTAATCAATTAAATTATAATATTTTTATTTTTGTTCAGTATTACCTGCTCCTTTGCTTTTTGACAATTTTGTTTGTATTCTTTCTCTTGTAGCAGCTTAATTGTTACTTTACTGTACTCTAGTTACTTGTGTATAAATAAAAATTCATGTTTTATTAAAAATATTATAATTAAATTAATTAAAATCATTCCTTTCCTTTTCTTTAAGGTACTATTTTTTTTACTAACCCTTAATTTAAAATTTATATTAGACTTTAACTAATGTAAAATTGAGTTGAATCAAACTCCATATAAGAGGAAATTCTCTCCGGTCTATTTTTTCATTCACAAAATTTAAATTTAAGATTTTATTTAAGAAAAATCAAACTCCTCCTATTCGGATCAATACATCATTGATTTTAATTCTAAGATACTATTAGTTTCATAATCATCATGACTTGCTTTTCAAATGATTATTTTTGAAATTTTACTTAACTTTTGACTTTTATCTTATCAGCATGGAAGGGATATGTGTGAATAATCTCTTTGATAAATTTTTTTCTACCTTCTTAATTATTCATTTAATTATGATGCAAAACACATGGTGTGACATGTGGTTGTTATGAATTATTTCCATACATATTAATACATGTCTGTCAGGTTGAGGGACAGGTACACAGAATATTATTACCCTACCTGGCTGACTCTGCATTTGCCCCACAGTGTAGCACCACTCCTTAACCTGTCTAAAATCTATTCTACCATTAATGAAAACCATTTTTTTTTTTCATTTTTTTGGTCCAATTCAAAATGTCAACAGGTCAAGAACAACAGGTCCCTTGGGTTGAATTGGGCCTGTTTTTAGTATTGGTCCAATAGACCATAAAGTCGGGCCGAACCCACCTAGCCCTCGAATGCCATCAGCTGAGGGTGTGTTTCGAAGGAAATATTTTCTTTCGTAATTTTCATAAGGGTATTTTAATACATACATGTCTTAAAATTATAATAAATAAAGAATAAAAATGAATTTTTAATATCTCTTTTCTTTAATATAATTTTCTACCGATAAACATCTTTTTCCCACTATTTTTTAAAAATATTTCTCACAATTTTGTTTATATAAAATTCATTTAACAACTTTTTTTAAAATTTTTTAATATTAAAATTTTAATAAACATGATAAAATTAATAATTAAATAAAATTTTTAAAAGAATTTATTGTAAATTTAATAAAATTTTATATAATATCTTTCAACTTTGATATAATAATTTCATAATTACTTTTATTAATAAAAATTTTATTAATAAAATTCATTAATAACCGAACAGCTCGTCTAGCACTATATGACCTAATGATCATAACCTATATAAAATGTGCTATAACATAAAAATCTTGAATTTTACACCCAAACACTACTTCTTCCATTTCCTACAATTCCCCTTAATTCAAAAAAAATATAACCAAACAGCCCAAAAGGTAAACCACGAACTACTAGCTTTCTATGGTCCCGTTCATGTTGCCACGTGGCAAAAGCCATGCTTGATTCAATCCCACGTGTCAATCTGAATCCCACCTGTCAACACACATTTCCCGGCAAAAAAACCCATTTTCCCTCCAAATCCTAAAATCAATACCCCAGTTACAAAAAAGTTTTGATTTTTATTGCCTCCTCCATTAAGGAGAAGGAGAGGAAAATGGGAGTGCTTGAATTCACCGGAAACCTAACCCACCAGACGGTGGTGCCCCTAGCGGTGTTTGTGGCCATTTTGTGTCTGTGCTTGGTGGTGGGTCACTTGCTTGAAGAGAACCGCTGGGTCAATGTATCCATCACTGCCATCTCAATTGTATGTCTGTTTTTAACTGTTTGTGTGTTTTGACTCAATTAGTCTTGTGAAGAAACCCCTTAATGTGCATTTGCAAGTTCTTGGACATGGGTCACGATTGACTGCGTATATGTCTTACAGGGGTTTATATCTGGGACAGCAATCTTGTTGCTTACCAAAGGGAAAAATTCTCACATTCTACGATTCAATGAAGAGTTGTTCTTCATATATCTCCTCCCTCCCATAATATTCAATGCAGGGTAAGGCTGGCTTTTATGAGTTGAATGCTTTAACTACTCGGTTTTCGAAATTTACTGACCCTTTTATTTTCCGGTTCTACTTATGTAGGTTTCAGGTGAAGAAGAAGCGGTTCTTTCACAACTTCTTTACCATCATGTTGTTTGGAGTAACTGGGGTTTTCATTTCAACTTTGATTATAACAGTTGGTGAGCCAGTTGTTTTCTAATTGGTTTTCTGTGATTACTGCAATAATTTGTGTCCAATAGTTCTAAGTTTGTTCATGTTTCTGTTGGCCTAGGCAGTAGGTGGCTGTTTCCTGAGTTGGGATTTATCGGTTTGACTGCAAAAGACTTTCTTGGTAAGGTTATTGTTTACGTTGTTTTGTCTAGACTATATTCTTATGTTTGATTTATTTTTGTACCTTGTTAATTCTAAGTGAATTTCTCGCTATCTTGTTTGGTTGTTTCAGCTGTAGGAACAATATTTTCTTCAACAGACACAGTATGTACATTGCAGGTTGGTTGGTTAAAGAATTCTTCTTAGCATTTATATGCTCACAGCCACTTACATTTTATCACGGGAACAGCAAGATGCTCTAAATCTAAGACATTTGTCTCCTTTTTAGGTTCTCCACCAAGATGAAACTCCGTTGCTGTACAGCCTAGTGTTTGGAGAAGGAGTGGTGAATGATGCGACATCTGTTGTTCTCTTCAATGCAATTCAAAAGATTGATGTTGCAAGGTTAAACAGATGGACATCTCTCCAAGTGATTGGGGATTTCTTTTACCTGTTCGCAACAAGCACTGCTCTTGGAGTTTCTGTGAGTTGGATAGTTTTAATGTAATCATGAACTAACTTCAATGTGGATGCTTTAGATTTCCTCTTTGATAGGTTTTTCTATAATATGGGAACAGATGGTTGTCTTGTTTAATTGCAGTACTCTTTTTACTGCAAGCAATCTGGATGGTTAGGCTCGTCATCTTGAGAGCTCTTAATCTTCCCATAGTTTGTGGTTGTTTCTTGTTCTCTTGCAGATTGGACTTCTGACAGCATATTTGCTTAAAATCTTGTACTTTGGAAGGTTCCAATTTTTATTTTCAGAAATGATTTGACAAATCTATTAAAGTGGATAAGCATCCATACCAGTTCTATGTTCCTCTGGCCTGTTTGCAGACATTCAACAGTTCGTGAACTTGCTATAATGATTTTAATGTCTTATCTGTCTTATATGTTGGCAGAGGTAATATGTTGAAGCTTGATGGTAGAAAGTCTTATAAAATTTTCACAAAAGGGAATAGCCACATCATGGCAAGTTTTCAGAATTTAAGTAGTTTAGGGGTTATGAATTATAACACACTTTCCTTTCGGTCTTGCTCTGTAATGAAACGAAGTTCATAACATTCTTATTATCTACCTCAATGACGATCACTTTTTCTTAATTTGTTGCAGTTGTTTGAACTCAGTGGGATTCTCACTGTTTTCTTCTGTGGAATTCTTATGTCACACTATGCGTGGCATAATGTGACTGAAAGTTCAAGAATCACAACCAGGCATATATTTGCAATGATGTCATTTGTTGCAGAAACGTTTATATTTCTCTATGTTGGAATGGATGCTCTCGACATTGGGAAATGGAAGATAACCAAATTGAGGTATTACTTGTGCACCTTGTAGCTTCCACCCTTTGAGTTATAACATTTCATTATTGATCCAAATTGGTTTTGTGTAGTTTTTATTCAAGAGAAGTATCAGTAACCCACTTGTACTTCTGTTTACCTAGTTGAATTGCTGTTCAGGTCAATTAAGAACATGAGGTGAAAAAAACTCCAACAAAATTTGGTGCAAAATAATAAAGTTATTTTTTAAATAATTAAGGAGGTAGATTTTTACAACGAATTAATTATGAATGCAGTGAAAAATTACTTCAATCTCCTTTTCCAGTTTTCAGAAGTTAACAGGCATCTATTGCACCATAGTACTGCTAACGTTGCTTGGGCGTGCCGCGTTTGTATTTCCTCTTTCCTTATTGTCTAATTACATAAATAGGCGTGCTCAGAGTGCATCATCAATTACATTCAAAAACCAGGTTAGTTTTCAACTTTGATGATATAAATTTAGTTTTTTTTCTTTGGCAGGATTTGATGTGGTAAACTTTATTATGATTAAAGTAGGTAGAAAATTCGGACTTTATGGCTCTATGCCTATATGCTTTGTACATGTTTTCTTTCTAGATAATTATTTGGTGGATTTCATTTTGCTATAGCACTTACTTTTTGCTTGTGCAGTTCACATATTCTGGTGTTACTTGGGATCCAATTAATGCC